TGGCACGTTTCTTGGCATGTTCCCTGGCGCTTCCATTGGAGCGTCTACTGCCCCGTCCCCTGGCACGTCCACTGCCACATCCCCTGGCAAGTCCACTGGCGCGTTCCTGTCACGTTCCCTGTCTCGTCCCCTGGCGTTTCCCCTGCCCGTTTCGTAGCGCGTTGTTTGGCGCATCCCTTGCCACGTCCCCTGGCGCGTCCCCTGGCACGTCCCTTGGGGCATCCCCTAGCATGACGTTCCCTGGCACGCCTTCTGGCACGCGCCTTGCAAGGCCCCGTGGTAGGTCCCTGACATGTCAATGCACGTCCCCTGGCAGGTCCCCTGGCGCATCCCCTGGTGTGCCCCTGGCATATCCCGTGGCGCGTCTATACGCCTTGCGCCCCCTGTCGGTTCTCCCAGTGTCAGAACTGAATCGGATCTTGAGCTCGAGCTGGTTGAGCGCACCGCACGTTTCGACTACAACCAACCATGCGCTCAAGCAGGGCGAGCTAAAGATCCAGATCAGTTCGGTCAAGATACGGACGCCAAGGACGGCCATATCCTTAAACGCAGTGGAGTACAGCACATAATGGAACAGTGCAGTTCAGCATCGCGCAGCGCATCGCAGCGCGACACACCCCCTGGAACGGTATCATCACCACTGATATCCTCTATCCTCAGCAATTCTAAACATTGCCATTTACCATCGCTTAATTCAAAGCAGTTCTATATCCCTTTTCAGGTTCGTGGATCGATATTGTGTCCCCCTTGGCCCCGCCACTGCTTCTCTTTCCTCGCGTCTTGCATTCAAGGAGTTGCCCTGTCTCTTCGTCCTGGGGAACCCGGGTCCGCTCCTCGCTGCACCATGCTTGTGCGCGCGCGCGCCCGCTGCGCGGCCCGCCCTAGAGGCCTGGAGCATGCTGCGGAGGCGCGAGCGCGAGCGCGAGCACCAGGGGCTCGGGAGGGAGGAGGTGCGCACGGAGTGTGATGAGCAGAGAACTCCGCCGGCCACCGAGAGACGCCGGCCCGCCGGCCGCTGAGAGACGCCAAAGAGGCCCAAAAACCGTGCGGTGACGGGCCGCGTGGTTGCCTCGGAACCCCCAAAAGACCTCACTGCGCGGTCCGTCTCCGCATGGCTTTGGCACCCCAGACGTCACCTGGAAACGGCCAGAGTCCCCAATCCGCGTTGTCACCCCGAGTCGCCACTGCCTCGCCACGCGGTGTGGTCACCACCCCGTGGGGGGCCGCCCGAGCAGGAGACCCGAGCAGGCCGAGGCCGAGGCCGAGGCGGAGACAGCGGGGGCGCGGCGGCCGCGGGGCAGCCCGCGCCGCCCCCCCCCCCTACATAAGAGCATCCGCGGGGCCCGCCGTGCGCGGTCCCGCGCCGCGCCCCGGCGGCAGCAGAACGAGCGCCCGCCCGGCACGCAGGAAGGCCAGGAGCTATGAGAGGATCGAGGGTGGACAGAACCCCCGACAGTGACACGTCGATTAGTGAATTGTCCGTTTTCGGTTCTCGAGAGGGCGCCGTGGCCGTTATTTTCCAGGCTTGCGCCCGCCAGGTTTGGGCCTCAGGTCGTTTTCACTGAATCACGTTTTACTAATGGGGGGTCTGTCCATCCCCGAGAGGAGCGGGCGCCACAGGCAGAGACTGTGGGCGCTCCGCGCGGATTTCTGGGGTCCGCGCTGGGACCCCCTGGCTGCCCCTGGCGGTCTCGCGCCAGGGAGAGGGCTCCAGCTCGGATCCAAGAGATCCGTGCGGATCTCCAAAGAGGTCTACGTTTGTGCAGCTGTTTCTTCCTCTGGGAGCATTGGGCGTCGCTCGACGGGGGGGGAGGGGGGACGATCGATGCGGGGGGGAGAAAGGTGCCCTTCTCGAGCCCGAGCGGTGTCCCTTAAAGGCCCTAGGGGGCCTTTTCACTGGCCCTGAAGGGCCCCTTTTCCGCAGCCCTCGCTGCCGCCCCCATGTATCGCCCCCCCTTTTTACGCGACGCCCAAGAGCGACGCTAGGGGGGAGATAGGACCAGAGGGGATGCATCGACCATCATTCGCCCGTTCATTGCCGCTAGGGGCCCGATGGCCCGCCCCGCCCAGGAACGGGCGTTTTCCCTATCGGGGGCCCATCGCCGATCGATCGGCGATGCATCGCCGATTCAAGCTCGATGTTCCCCCCTGTGCCAGTCCCCCCCTATCATTGCCTCTCAGCGCTCCTCGGGCTCCTCCTCGCGGGTGTCGTCGTCGTCGTCGTCGTCGTCGTCGTCGTCGTCGTCGTCGTCGTCGTCGTGAGCTGGTCCCCCCCTGACACTGCCAGACAGACCAGGGTGGGTCCTCGCCGTGAAGCAAGCGGATCCCGAGGGCAACGAGCCCGAAGGCGTTTCGTTGTTGTTGCCCCCCTGGGGGCCTTCCTGGGCCCCGCGACTGAGAGAAAAGTGGTCAGGACGAGAGACTCTTCCTGAGCGAAGGCCCCCTGAGGATGGATTCGTTTGTTTCGTGCCGAGGTCTTTCGGAGGACGGCCAGTCGAGACGGCGGTGGCAATCCTTGGCGTTTTTGGGCCTTCTGGAGGCTTCTCGTCGCCACGGCCGGATGCGCCCAGGAAAGCGGGCCAGGGTGAACCCGAGCAGGGGTCCAGGGACCCAGTCTGAACGGATTTGAGCCGGGCTGGAGGGCCGCCGTTGTCTCTGCCGGTATTCTTCCGTGCTCTTGGTGGCCGTCATGAGTTGAAGGGGTTCTGAGAAAGATTGCTCTCGATGATGCTCCCTTCGTCGTTTCGGGCTCCTGGGGCTCTCTTTGGGCTCTCTCCTTGGGCTCCGGGACCGTCGAGAAAAGGGTTCGGGATGAAGAACTGGTCCCTTGGGTTCAGGACCCGCTTCCCTTCCGCCTCCTCCTCCTCCGCCTCCGCCTCCTCCTCCTCCCATTCCTTCCATGGCGTCGGGGGGGGGCGACCTTCCTTCCCCTCCGCCTCCTCCTCCTCCTTCCCTTCCGCCTCCTCCTCCTCCGCCTCCGCCTCCTCCTCCCATTCCTTCCATGGCGTCGGGGATGGGGTCCTGGACTGGCGGCGCGCGCACGGGGGTGGCGCGAGGGGGGCGGCCTTCAAGCAGGGCACGAAAGCGCCTGAGAAGGCGGGGGCCTTCTTTCCAGTCGGGCATGTCCCTCTACAGGAGGAATCTTCCAGAATAGTCTACAGCCTGGGGACGATTTTTCTATTCTTTTCAAAAGTATATTTGATTATGTTTTTGCCCATTTTTATTTTTTCGCCCAAAATGCGCCTCTAGGGGGAACATGCCCGACCTAAGCCTTCCTAGAGACGTTCCCGTCCTCGAAGAAGCCTCCAGGCCTTCTCGGGAACAGCTCCCCTGCTCTCTGCTCTCTTGGACGCCCCTCCCCCTCCTTGGAGGCTCCATCTCCGCCTTCGGGCTGCCGGCGCTCTCCCCGGGCCCCGGGATTGTAAATCAGAGGCGGCCCAGAACGTGCCGTTGGACCCGAGGCCCGGGGTCCAGGTCCCGCTGCTCGGAGGAGGACGGCTGTGCAGATCCCCCGCGTCCCTCCCCCTCCCCCCCCGCCCCAAGAAAGAGGAGGGCGACCAGAGGAGGGGGGAGGGAGTGGGACGGAGGTGGGCTGACTAAGGATCCCACTCCTGGCTTCCACCAGGACCCCTTGCGCTCGCGCCCAGCCAAGGCATCCCAATGTCTACCCTTCCCTCGGGTTCGCCTTTTTGGGCCTCCTCGGAGGCCCTCGCCATAACCGCTGGATTCGCCTCGAAATCCTGGTCAGAACGCACCCCAGGAGGGATCTGGGGAGTAGTGGTATCGGCACCCCACCGCCCGCCCCTTTTGCTCTTCGATGTCCTTCTTGGCCGGTGGCGCCTCGGAGCTGCACGCGGGTTGCGGACGCGCGGGGCGTGTTGCCCGCTTCTTCGGACAGGCGGCCGTCGACCGCCTCTTCGCCTTCGGGAAAACCTAGGAGACCTCCTCAATCCTTCTATTACCCCTCCTTTTCAATCCTCCTCCTCTCCCTCGCATCCTCCTCTCGTCGCTTGCCTCCTCCTCCCCTTGTGTTCAATATTATCTAGATGAGGAGGGTGTAGAAAGAAACGACGATGCATAAGAAGGAAGTAATATGGAAGGAGTGATGGACACATACATGGAAGTGAGGGGGTGCGTGAGGAGGGGGACAGCAAGAAGAGGGTCAGGATTGGATAAGGAGGATAAACAAACAGTACCAGAGAGGATTGGGCGAGGAGGGGGCGTGCAGGAGGAAGAGGAGGAGGGTTTGAGGAGGAGAGGGACTGGAACACTAGAACGGAGGAAAAAAAAAAATGGTAAGAGTGGACGAGGGGAAGGGTGGGAAGAGGAAGGAGGGGAGAGGAGCATGCAGGAGGACCGACGAGGAGATCCGGAGGACGTGGGACAGGGGGAAGGAGGCGGCTCTCGAAAGAGTGCGGCGGGGGAGGCCCAGGAGTATCGGAGGACCCTGAGATCCGACGTTGCGGAAAAAGTGCAACATCGCAAAAAATACTACCAGAAGCTCTAGATCGGCGGCGATTGAGGGGGGGAAGTGAGAAGGAGAGGGCCCTCTCGGAAGGCGGTGGGGCTTACACGACCGGAGCCCCAGACCCCATTTTTCTGCCGTTCCCTTTCGAGCCTCCTCCTCCTCCTCCTCCTGCTCTTCTTCTTCCTGCTCCTCCTCCTCCTCCTCCTCTTCCTTGGCCGGGCCGCTGGGCGCGCCACCGCCCGTGGCGACTCTCCTCCTCCTCCTCCTCCTCCACTCTGATCGGCCTGCCATGGTCCTGGGGCCCGGCAGCCAGGCGAAGACGCCCGGTGCGGCAAAATTGCCACGTCCAGATCTCAGGGAAGGCTCGGGGATCGAGGATCGGGGACCGAAGCTCGACGACGACGACGACGACGACGACGACGACGACGACGACGACGACGACGACGACGACGAAAACGACGACGACTTCGACGACGACGACTTCGACGACGGTGGCGGCGGTGGACGGCGGCGCTCGAGGTGGCCGCGGCAGGCGGCCTTCGCCGGCGTCTCCGCGCCAGGCCTCGCAGCCCGGTCGCTGCAGGCGGCGCACGGGCGGGCCTCTCCCCGGGGGGCCAGCTGCTCGGGTGGGCCCCGAGGCGTTGGAAGTCACCACCCACCAAACCACCCCAACCCAACCCGAAGGCATCAGTTTGCCCTCCATTTCCGGTTGGGGGGGGTCGGGGAATACTACCGAAAAAACGCATATGGAGCCCATACCCCCACGAACCCGAAGTTCGGGTCTTCGGGTTGGGTTGGGGTGGTCTGGTAGGTAGTCAGGAAGGTTCCAAGTCCGCGCGGAGCGAGTCCGCACGGAGTCCTCGGCCTCCGTCTGGGCTTACGTCTCGGGCGCGGCAGAGAGGGGGGTGACGACCACGGGGGGGGTGGACAGCATGGCGGGGGCCCCTTCTTATTTCAGGCGCTCCTTCTTATTTCAGGGGCCCCTTCTTATTTCAGGCGCCCCTTCTTATTTCAGGCGCCCCTTCTTATTTCAGGCGCCCCTTTCTTATTTCAGGGGCCCCTTCTTATTTCAGGCGCCCCTTCTTATTTCATGGCGGATGTCTCCCCAGATTTCAGGCGCCCCTTCTTATTTCAATGCGTCCCCGGCCGCCCCCTGTGCCGCGCACATGCCTCGGACCATGATTTGCACCCCCCCCCTCTTAGACGCCCCCCTCTTGGACGCCCCCGCCGCTGGGAGGTGCCAAGTCCGTGCGGAGCGAGTCCGCACGGAGTGCTCGGCCTCCGTCTGGGCTTGCATTCCGCCCGCGGCGTGGTGATGTCGGTCCCCAGACGTGGCGTTTCAGCAGGTATCGAGCGGGATGCCACCCGAGCTGGCGCCATCATTAGTATCCATGAGGAAATTATCTGTCTTGGCGGTGTTGCTGGTCAGCGGCGCCGCCTGCCAGGTGTAAGTAATGAGGAGGAGTAGCGCAGTTGTTGCTATGCTTAAATCGGGCCTGTCCCTCTACAGGGGGAAGAGTCAAACATATTGAAAAAGTATGTGGACGATGTTTTGACTGTTTTTGAATATTTGAAAATTTTAGGGGTATTTGTTGTCCAAAATCCGCCTGCAGGAGAACATGCCCGACCTGAGGCTATGCGTCCGATCAAGCTGGTCTTCGCGAACTTCTGCTGCTGCTTCTGCTGGTGCATTAAGGATTCTCGACGGCCTCCTGCTGGAACCGACCGGTGAAGCTGCGGGCAAGGAGAACGGCGCGTCTTCAGGGACTTGCCACCACATCAGCGCTACCAAAGTTGGTTTCCAGTGAGGATGTCAGACCAGATGGCTTGAACCCTGACGTTACGGTACATATGAAGTCAACGTTTGCACTCCAGACGGGGTATAACAACTTCTGAACATGTGAAACTCAATTTTTCCCCCTCCCCTCCTCCTCCTCCTCCTCCTCCTCCTCCTCCTCCTCCTCCTCCTCCTCCTCCCTTCTCCCTCCTCCCTCCTGGGTCGTCTTGGGCCAGCGGGGGTGTGGGGAACCCGCTCACCCCCCTTGCTCCTTAAGCGGTTTGGGCCTGCACGGTTACGGAAATTGCAAGCTCGGGATTGCCTGAGGATGGCTCCTTCCCAGACTGCGCCGGCCGGCGCGAATCGTGACGTGAGGGGGGGGGAAATGTGGCGGGCCAGTCATTTCACGATGCGCGCTTTTGCGCCTGGGAGTGCCTGAGGATGGTGGGGGGCCAAAATATATACACCACCACCACCTCCCTCCCCCCCCCCCCTCTCGCTAGACAGGAGAGGGGAGGAATCGACGTGGTGGTGGTGGTGGTGGTGGTGGTGGTGGTGGTGGTGGTGGTGGTGTATATTCTTTGGGCCCCCAGATGGCTCCTTCCCCCTCAGCCCCGGCCCCGCGCGCCGTGCGCCCGCGCCAGCGAGGCGTCGCCGCGGCTGCGCCTGGGGGCGGAGAAGGACGGCAAGGAGGCTGCGCGTGGCGCGCGGAGCGCGCGCGCGTGCGGCTGCGACCGGCCTTGCCTCCTCCTCCTCCGTCCTCCTCCTCCGTCCTCCGCCGTGCTCCTCCGCCCTCCGTCCTCCTCCTCCTCGGTTCTTCTCCTCCGTCCTCCTCCTCTTCCTCCTTCTCCTCCTCCGTCCTCTTTTTCCTACTCCTCCCTCCTCCTCCGCCCTCCTCTGTCCTCGTCTTCCTCCTCCGTCCTCTTCTTCCTCCTTGTCCTCCGTCCTCCTCCTCCTCCTTCGTCCTTCGCCCTCCTCATCCTCCTCCTCCTCCTCCTCCTCCTCCGTCCTCTTTTTCCTCCTCCTCGGACTCCGTCCTCCTCCGTTCTTCTCCTCCGTACTTCTTTTCTTCCTCCTCCTCCTCCGTCCTCTTTTTCCTCTGCCTCCTCCTACTCCTCCTTCTCCGTCCTCCTCCTCTTCCTCCTCCTCTTTCTCCTCATTCTCCTTCTCCTCCTCCTCCTCCGTCCTCTTCTTTATCCTCCTTGTCCTCCTCCGTCCTCCTCCTTCTCCGCCTTCCGTCCTCCTCCTTCTCCGTCATCTTCCTCTTCCGTCCTCCTCCTCCTTCTCCTCCTCCTCCTCCTCCTCCTCCTCCTCCGTCCTCTTCTTTATCCTCCTTGTCCTCCTCCGTCCTCCTCCTTCTCCTTCTCCTCCTTCTCCTCCTCCTCCTCCGTCCTCATCATCATCTTCCACTTCTTCCTTCACCTCCTCCTCCGTCCTTTACTTCATCTCTACTTCCTCTTCCTCTTCGTCCTCCTCCTCCGTCGTCCTCCTCCTCTTCCTCCTCCGTTCTCCTCAGTCCTCTTTTTCCTCCCTCCGTCCTCCTCCGCCTCCTCCTGCGTCCTCCTCCGTTCTTCTCCTCCTCCTCCTCCTCCTCCTCCTCCTCCTCCTCCTCCTCCGTCCTCCTCATCCTTCCCCCTCCTCCCCCGTCCTTCTCCTCCGCCTCCGTTCTTCCCCTCCGTCCTCTTCCTCTTCCTCCTCCTCCTTCTCATCCTCCTCCGTCCTTTTTTTCCTCTTCCTCCTTCGGTCTCCTCCTTCTCCTCCTGCGTCCTCCTTCTCCTCCTCCTCCTCCGTCCTCCTCCTCCTCTTCCTCCTCCTTCCTCCTCATCCTCCGTCCTCTTTTTCATTTCTCCTCCTCCTCCTCCTCCGTCATCTGTTTCCTTCTCGTCCCTCCGTCCTCCTCCTCCTCCTACCTCTCCCTGACTCCTCTTCCTCCGACTCTCCTCCTCCGTCCGTCCTCCTCCGTCCTCTCCTCCTCCTCCTCCTCATCCGTCCTCCGCCTCTCCTCCGTCCTCCTCCGTTCTTCTCCTCCTCCGTCCTCTTTTTCCTCCTCCTCCTCCTCCTCCTCCACCTCCTCCGTCCTAGTCTTCCTCCGTCCTCTTCTCCCTCCTCTTCTCCCTCCTCCTTCTCCTCCTCCGTCCTCGTCCTCCTCCTCCGTCCGCTTTTTTCTCCTCCTCCTCCTCCTCCGTCCTCCTTCGTTCTTCTCCGTACTCTTCTTCCTCCTCTTTCTCTTCCGTCCTCTTTCTCCTCTTCCTCCTCCTGCTCCTCCTCCTCCTTCGTCCTCCTCCTCCTCCTCCTCCGTCCTCTTCTCTCTTCCTCCTCCTTCCTCCTCCTCCTCCTCCGTCTCTCTTTCTTTTTCCTTCCCTCTCCTCCTCCGTCATCCCTCCTCCTCCTTCCTCCTCTCCTCTCCGTTCTCCTCCTCCTCCTCCCTCCTCCTCCTCCTCCTCCTCCCTCCTCCTCCTCCCCCTCCCTCCTCCTCCTCCTCCCCCCCCTCCGCCTCCCCTCCTCTTCCTCCTCTCTCCTCCTCCTCCTATCTCCTCCTCCTCCCTCCCGTCCTCTCCTCCTCCTACTTCTCCCATACCGTACTCCCCCTCTTTCTCCTACTCCTATTCCTCCTCTGGTCTCCTCCCTCCTCCTCCCCTCCTCCTCCTCCTCCGTCCTCTTGTTCCTCTTCCTCCCTCCGGTCTCCTCCTTCTCCTCCTTCGTCTCCTCCTTCTCCGTCCTCTTCTCCTCCTCCTTCCCTCCTCCTCCTCCTCCGTCATCGTTTTTTCCTTTCTCCCTCTCCTCCTCCTCCTCCGTCCTCTTTTTCCTTCTTCTCCTCCTCCTCCTCTTCCTCCTCCTCCGTCATCTTTTTTCTTCGCCTCCTCGTCCTCCTATCCTCCTCTCATCTTCTCCTCATCCTCCTCCTCCTCCCCCTCCTCCTCCTTCTCCTCCTCCTCCTCCTCCTCTCCTCCTCCTCCCCCTCCTCTTTTCTCTCTCCCTTCCTCTCCTCCACGTCCTCTCCACTCCTCCGTCCTCCTCCATTCTTCCTCCTCCGTCTTCCTCCTCCGTCCTCCTCCTCCCCCCCCTCCGTCCTCTTTCCTCCTCCTTCTTCTCCTCTCCTCTTTCCTCCTCCTCCTTCTTTCCTCTTTCCTCCTCCTCCTCCTCCGTCTTTTCCTCCTCCTCCTTCTCCTCCTCCTTCCTCCTCCTCCTCCTCCTCCTCCTCCTTCTTAGTCCTCTTCTTCCTTCTCCTCCTCCTCCGTTCTCCTCCTCCTTCTCCTCCACCTTCTTCTTCTCTTCTTCCTCCTCCTCCGTCCTCCGTCCTCTTGGTCCCCCTCCTCCGTCCTCCTCCTTCTCCTCATCCGTCGTTCTCCTCCTCCGTCCTGCTCCGTCCTCCTCTGTTCTTCTCCTCCGTCCTCCTCATCTTTCTCTTCGCGTGCCACTCGCGCAGCGTGTTGCACGCATGGTGAAAGCGCATACGATAACCGCAGTATGTGTATGTGTTCGCGTGCGTGCGCAGGGAGTGTCTATGGTACATGCGTGCGTGCGAGTCGGGGTAAGGGGCATTCATTGTACTCGCGTGCAAGTTCGGCAGGCCAGGAGCCCTGCAGAGCCCTTCGGGCGCGCACGCGCCCACCCAGGCACGGGCCTGAGGGCGCAGGGTCGGCGGCGAGGGCACGGGCCCCGACCGCGATCCCAGCGGCCGCCCAGGCACGGGCCTGGGGGCGCAACGGCGGCGGCGAGGGCACGGGCCCCGACCGTCAGCCCATGGGCCACCCAGGCACGGGCCTGCTGGGCCACGTCGGCGGCAAGGGCACGGGCCCCGTCCGCGACACCAGCGGCCGCCCAGGCACGGGCCTGCGGGGCACGCTCGGCGGCGAGGGCACGGGCCCCGACCGCGAGGCTCGCCGGCGAGGGCACGGGCCCCGACCGCGGGACCAAAAGGCTAAGGCCACCCAGGCACGGGCCTGCGGGGCCACGTCGGCGGCGAGGGCGCGGGCCCCGACCGCGACGCTCGGCGGCAAGGGCACGGGCCCCGACCGCGAGGCCAAAAACCTGGGCTCACCAGGCACGGGCTTGGGGGGCCAGCTCGGCGGCGAGGGCACGGGCCCCGACCGCAAGCAGGGCGCTGCCCAGGCTCGGGCCCTTGGGCGCAGGAAACGCCAGCGGCGAGGGCACGGGCCCCGTCCACAAAGGAAGGTTCGGGCAAGGGCCCGACAGGCATGGGCCCGATCGGGCGTCTTGCCTGAAGATAAAGTTCCCCCCCCTCCGCAACCCCTCTCTTCACCGTCTTAGAATTGCTTTATCTTCATTACCTTCGTGGATCCAGGGCACTCGGGCCGCGACACGCGTGCCCTGGTCTGGCGTTGCCTTCCCATCGTGCGACCAGCGCGTGGACGCCGACAGGCTTCGGCAGGTGGCAGTGGAGGTTTCTCCTTCCTCTTCCTTCTCATCCTCCTCCTCCTCGTTCTCCTCGGTCCTCCTCCTCAGTCCTCCTCCGTCCTCCTCCTCCATCCTCTGTTTCCTCTCCCTCCTTCGTCCTCCTCCTCCTCCTCCTCCTCCTCCTCTTCCTCTTCCTCCTCATCCGTCCTCATCCTCCTCCTCCTCCACTTCCTCCTCCTCCACCTCCTTCTTCTCCGTCCCTATATTCCTGTGTTTCCTCTTCTTCTGATTATTATTATTATTAGTCTTATTATTATTATTATTAATAATATTATTATTATTATTGTTATTATTATTACTATCATTATGATTAGTATTATTATTAGTAGTATTAGTGTTACTATTATTAGTATTATTATTATTATTATGTGTATTATTATTAGTAGTAGTAGTATTATTAATAGTATTATCATTATTATCATTATTATTATTAGTACTATTATTATTATTAGTTTTCCTTCTCCTCCTCCTCATCCTCATCCTCCTCCGTCGCCCTCCTCCTCCTTTTTCTCCAAGGCTGGCTCAGACCTGCGGGCCACAGGGGGCCCGTTTGTCTGTGTCCCCAGCCTGCTGCCCCAGGGGCGGCGGGCGTCACGGACGGTCGTGAGCGCCGCCATCGGGCACCATCGCCTGCCTGGCATAGGAGGCTGCGGAGGCGGCGGGCCGAGGCTCGCAGCCTGCTGGCAGTCGACCGTGCGAGGCGGCTGCTGCGCGGGCACCACGGCGACGACCACCTCGCCGACATGCGTGCGGACGGTGGCAATCCTCGGTCGCGGCCGCCATCGAGGGCTTCTTCGCAACCGAGGTCGGAGGGCGAAGAGATGTGGCGCTGCTCCCAGCCCGACTGCCGCTGCGCCAAGAACCTGGCACGATGGCGTTGGTGCAAGCACTGCGGTGCCGAGCGCGACGGGGGCCGCTCCAAGCCGCCGTGAGCGCGGGACCGCGGTGATCGTGCTCGTGGTGCTGCTGGCGGCACTGCCCCTCTTCGGGACATGCAGGACCTCGGGGTGGACGCCATGCAGGCCCTGGTCGCGCTCGCTGAGAGCAAGGGTGACAAGGAGATGGCAGACAAGTACCGCGCTGCCATCCAGGCCAGGCCCCAGTCGACAACGCCTACAGCCTTGTCAAAGGATGAGCTACGGTCCATGGTCACGATGGCCGAGAAGCCAGGTGACCAGGACACGGCGAAGAAATACAAGCAGCTACTGGACCAGGCGGACAAGGGCCCTGTGCAGCCTGCACAGGTCAGGGCCAACAAGGCCCATGCGAAGGTG